GTGTGTGTGTGTGTGTGTGTGTGAGTGAGAGAGAAATCATTTTTATTAACCATTAAAATCATGATTTATCATTTGAGTTTACTTGTTTTTGACATAAAGGAGCTATTTTCTTTCTTCCTCTTAACCTATTTAGCTTTATCGTTTCTGACCAGTACCACACATGAGGATGGGTGGAGCTGCGCGTTTCTAGACATCACTGGTGGTAATTCAATATGTAACCAACGTTCAGTCTTTTAACCTTGGCAAATAAAAAAATAACATGTTTCAGTAAGTGGAGTTCTCTTTGGTAAGAAATGTCAATATGATTGCCGGTGAGAGTAAATGGCAGTTTGTAGGTCAGGGTTATTCGTTAGAATTAGTAAATAACTAGGGCTGCACAATTAATCCTAAACAAATCGTGATCTCAATTCATACTTATATACAATCTCATTTCCAAATGATTTTAAGCAGCTGGCTAAATAAAAAGGACTATGGATAATCTGGCATAATTAGTTCATCACTGTCACTTCTTTTTATTTATAGGTGTGATTTAAGATGGTGAAACAGAAGTGTCCTCTGTCCTTGTGTTAAATGGCTGATAAACAGTTAATAGGAGGTAATTACGGTCATAAATAGGACAGTTTTAAAAAAACTAACATATTTTCGAACAAGATAAACCAGTAAAGTTTATATTGATATAAATGTGTGTGTGTGTGTGTGTGTGTGTGTGTGTGTGTGTGTGTGTGTGTGTGTGTGTGTGTGTGTGTGTGTATATATATATATATACACACACACACACACACACAGCCAGTGAAATTCAGGAGTTAGCAGGCATACCTGGCTCTTGCTAGCTTGTTGCATGTCAGTTTCTGATGTGCCGTCCTGTCGGCTATTATCACGTGTTTTCTTTTGTGTTGCTCAATCACGTGCCACCAAAACATACAAAACATAAAGTACTTAATAAAAAAGGCTGGTGGCTGGGTTAACATTGGGCTATTATTGTAACCTTCATCATAAATTAGCACACCATGATATACTTTTGTTGGGCAACAAAAATGACTATGATCATTGCCCACCGTTACCAAGGTTTCACATTGACGCATCAGCGGCGCGGAACGGCACTGCTTCAAATAGAATCCATTAAAGTCTTTGGAGTTTCAAACCAGCCACGATGCAGCAATGTTGAGGCATATTCCAGAAACGTCACACCGTGCCGCTAAAGAGAAGATCTGGTTCAATTTTTGTTGCAAGCTGCATCTGGGACATGTCGATTTCTGTGGTCAACACAGGGCTAGACAGGAAATCACACATAGTAAAATCTCAGATAACTTTCAAAATAAGAGTACAGCAGCGATGCAGTTTCATATAAACGTAGCTCACGTGTGACCCAAACGGCTTATTTACTTCCCGTATTGTATGGCTTTAATCGTGACAGCGGAGAGGAACAACAGCATAAATGACATCAAACGGTGGTATCAAACTTGATTTCCTTCTTTATTTTTTATTTTATTTTATTTTTTTGTTCAATGTTGGATTGCATTAACAAACCGAGACCTTTGACGTCTCGAGGGATGAGGATGGCGGAAGTCTCGAGGGATTTTGTGATCTCGTGAGTCCAGCAAAGAGCACTGTTAGGAAGACGTGCAGCGGCCAAGACTCTCCCGGTGGGAAAAGGATCACTTTGAAGATCGCAAGTAAACTTTTCTGCTGCCGTTTCTCGCCACTGATGCTTCCAGTGTGAAACCGGGGTTAAATTCCCACATTTAGGATTATTTTCCATATATTCTAAATATATTGCATGTAAAAGTGCCTGTGTGATAATTGCTTCGGTGAACACTTCACAGGAAGAAAAGTATTGATATTATATAACGGAATACAGCGAAAAAATATTTCGATGTAAGTTTTGGTCCTCATCGCTCAACCATACTACATAATGAAAAGGCCTTTTACTGTATGAAGTACACTCTTTTGCCCATCCAATCAACATCTGAACGAGCTTTTTCTGATCAGTGTTGGGGAATCTTCTGACCAGAAGCGTGTGTGTGTGTGTGTGTGTGTGTGTGTGTGTGTGTGTGTGTGTGTGTGTGTGTGTGTGTGTGTGTGTGTGTGTGTGTGTGTGTGTGTTGTGTGTTGTGTGTTGTGTGTTGTGTTCAGGTCCAGTTTCTGGACTGTGGAAGGTGAGCAGCCCTTTACCGCTGGTCCCTGACATCACTTTGGTGTAAAAGTGGGCTGCACGGTGCCGCAGTTGTTAGCACTGTTGCCTTGCAGCAAGAAAGCTGCAGGTTTGAAACTCGGCTGTGGCCTTTCTGTGCGGAGTTGCGTGTTCTCCCCATGCAAGCGTGGGTTTCTTCCGGGTACCCCGTTTCCCCCACAGGTCACGACATGCCCTATAGATTCACAATTGTGCGTCGCTTTGGATAAAAGCGTCTGCCAAATAAATAAACATAAAAGAGCATATAAGTGGTAAGTTCTTTATCACTTGGTTGGTGGGGTGGTGCCTCATTAGTTCCTCTCTAATGATTCCAGGACTTCAGCAGGGATTATTTGACCATGGCTATGTGGTTTACTGTTTGCTTACATGAAAAAATGTGTATACTTTATTATTTTAGACCTGGGGTAGACAAAACCAAGCATGTTGTTTTACATACATGTTGTTTTTAGACTTTGTCTAATATGTTTTGGTTTAGTCTCTGACTCAAGGATATTTGAAGCCGAGAGTCCAAGGCTAAACATCGCTGATACTAAATTATAAATATTATTATTTGTCAGCTTTCTTTCTTTAGCTTCTTGTAATGAAGTCACTTTTTATCATGCAGCTGGATATCTGAAGGCATCAACAGAAAAGTAACTTAATTCTTTTTACTTGATGTTTTGCCTCAATAAACATTGCTTTATTAATATTTTATAGCAGAACAACTTGCTCTAGTCTAAAATAACATCACATCTCTCTTCTGCTGATGTGTTCATGTTCATTTCTGAAAGTGAGGTCTATCTTACTTTATCTCTTCATTGATGGGAGTGGGTTAGGGTTAGTTATTCTCCCAAATCACATCGATCACTTAGATATTGCTTTGCTATTAACTTAACAGAGTTAACTGTATATTTCCTGTCTGCCTGCAGCTCATCTCAGCTCCCTCTTACTTACCTCTCTCTCTCTCTCGTATCACACAGACAGGAGAGGCTGCAAAAAACACTCTCCTTTGTGAATACACAAAAACATGAGCGTTGTCTGTAAAATTACAGAAATATTGGATTGCAGCCAGTTGACAACTAATTCTGTTGAAGTGATGAAATTGGATAAATTGCACAGCCTTACCTTTAGGCCATAGCACCACTTTCCCAACCCTACCTGCTAAAGTTTGGGGATTTTTGAGATGCATCTTTTATTGTAACACTTAAAACTTCATTTGTAAGAAATCAGATATTTTATCATATTTAAACTTTGCAAACCTCAGCAAAAGGTTTACAAAGAAAAGGGTTGATTTTTTTTTGACAACGGTGATAGAAAAGTGTCCTTGTTAAAACTCTTTAGTCAAGTGGAAAGAACTATGTGGCTCTGAGATCCATTAACAGCTTTCTCTGAGAATGTGTGTCTGAAAGGGTCCATTTGTAACCTGGTACCTGCAACAACAAAGCACTTACTGCCCCCCTGTGCCAGAGCAGGGTTTCCTGCTTTTCCTTCTTGCGTCTCTTGGTTTCTCTCTCTCACCATTTATGCTGATTCCAACTCTGTGGGGGGACAAGACTTTTCCTAAAGGCGTCTTTGTCCAGATGAGAGAGAAAAGGGAGAGTGAGGGAGTGAAATGTTGTAGAGAGACAGAGAGAGGAGGATACTAGCTCACTATGCTAAACCTGGCGGGGGCCCATCTCTGACCCACAGAGCCGGCTTCTGTTTACCTTTGTAGAGATGAAGACCGTTGGGAACATTCTCACACTTTACCCATCTCTAAGTAGGGCTGCTCGATTATGACAAAAATGTAATCACAAATATTTTGACTTAAATTAAGATCTCGAAAATTTAACATGATGTTTAATGAACATTGATTTCATTTATTTAGTTAGTTATTTGGACATAAAAATGCACAGAGCACAATCAAAGAAAAAGAAAATAAATGAAAACAGAAAAACAAGATGATCAGAAAACCAGTTCCTGATTCCTTGTGTAAAAGAGCCAATACCCTTGCTCATAGTTTATGACTGAAGGGGTATAGGCTGAAGTTTAACTTATGAAAGCTTACCCATTTCATACCCAACCAAGGCTCCAAATACTGACAACAAAAGACAGCTATACAGTGCAAACTTCTGTAATATAAAAATAAATAGAAACAAATAAACGTCTATGTTGAACTTCCACAACCTGCTGCATAATTATTTAGCCCTGTCGTGCGGTGCCATAGGGAATGTGTGCAGTAGCACGATGCAACGTGTCGCTCAGATAGAACTATTAGTATTAATTAGTGTGAGAACGCGGTGAGCGTGATACTTGGCAGTCCTGATAAAATATAAATCCACTTCAGATACGCCTTGCTGTGTCTTGCATTTTTTAGCTTGTAAAACGATATTTTTTTTAGCAAGTGAGCTCCATCAAGAAAACTTTATAACTTGTCAGTTGACACAAAGTGATCATGCTGCACACACGCAGATCATTAGTCGGTCCAGAGCACAGCTGAGTGGTTTGCTGGCCTGCAGAGAATATTGGCGAAAAAAGTAAAGAGAAAGTAGCTTAGAGTCCCCAGAAATGTTGCTAGGTTGTTCACTAGGCAGGGTGGAACCAGAAGGGGGCCTTGGGGGGCCACTGACCACCCCTTATGAATGTATGTATGTATGTATGTATGTATGTATGTATATATATATATATATATATATATATATATATATATATATATATAGATAGAGATAGATAGAGATAGATATCGATATATAGAGATAGAGATAGAGATAGAGATAGATAGAGATAGATATCGATATATAGATATACATAAAGCAAGACAAATACATAAGTCATTGCTTCTAGTAGATTAAATATGGAAGAGAGGTTGGTGGAGGCTTTAATAGGGCTTGGGATCACATGTGATTACGCATTGCATTCCTTGTTGCACATGTTGATGGCCTCAGGGACCGGTACTTGGACGAAATCAGCATTGTAAAAGCTTTGGATCCACATAAAATACCTAAGACTCGAGCACCGATGACTACTTGCTGTCGCTGCAGTTCTGCATAATTGACATTTTCAGATATCGTGTTTGTGGTGTGAGCAGATGTGATCATCAGGAAGAGAGGTAAATGTTTCATTTGCTGATTTTTCTAGTAAAACAATCAAAATTGTCAATCCATAGAAGAAGTGTAAAGCAAGGCAGCTTTATTTATGTAACACATTTCAAGCACACGGGCAATTCAGTGTGCTTTATAATTAGCAGAAGTTATGTTGTTTCAGTGCGCCTGCATTAGCCTACTGGTATGTGTGTGTGTGTAGCCCATGTTTGGTGTGTCGCTGTTGAAGGAAAAAAACGATGTATAAAAAATGTACATCTGTAACTTACCAGAATTAAAATGCAGAGAATAAACTCTCACACAAACACTCTGGATGGTGATGTTTGGTCACCTGACAGCTGCGATCCGACTTGTAAGATATTTGGCCTCTGTGGATTTGCCACAAGGTAACCCGTTTCCCACGTTTTCCCCTGGCAATCATTGCGCTGTTGCACCTCACAACACAGCAACGATTTACCGTGGTTAAATAATAAACAATCAAATGAATAATAGATTAAATAATGCTGCAAGACCAAGACTGAGTGTTTTGCTGTCTGAAGTAACGAGCAACAAGTTAGGACTCTGAGGCTGCCAACATAGCGGCTGTGTCGGTGATGACGATACGATTCCAAGCCGGTTGTGGCAGTTGCGTTGCATGTGTTAATGACCATCATGGCCGTCTGGGTAAGGGTTAGCTTAATTCCATCTACCTGTCAATGATCAACCTTATCCAGGTTAGAGTCCACTTTCTGTTCAGTGTTGATGTGTATTCATCTCCGGTTCCGATTTTGGCCCTGGACAAGGGAACGTCACAGGATTCTGGAATTTGCAGCACTGGAATATAGCTTTAATTAACCTATTTCCGTTTCAGAGTGTTCTGAATCCTTTGGAGGGGATTGTTGGTGGTCTGGCCTTTTTGCAATAACCCGTTAAGAACCGTCATCAGAGGGATGGGGTTTTTTTTATGACTGTTTTTCTTCTGTTTTCATGCAGCAACAGTCAAAGAGAGGTTTGTATTGAAATGTTTGGTTTTTGCTAACTCAAGTCAGGTTTCCATACTGAATGTTCTGGATGATCATCTGCTTGTTTTCATGCCACTGATGTCCTTCCCATACTGATGGAGCTACATGTGGCCTTTTCAATGTTTTGTCAGCAAAACTGTTGTTGAATTTAAAACTGTGATGGATCTTATGAAAGTTGTTATCTAAAACTTCAAAAATTAACATTTCTTTTAGTTGGGTTTACAAAACCGATGACTGCTATAAAGTTTTAAAGCTACAATTCATATTAGAACCATTACCTGAGGTTAGATTTTTGTTGAACATAATGATTTTTTTCAACTACTTTAGAGAACGAGAGCTGATAAGAAATGTTGTTTGCCTTTAAACTGGGCTGATCATTAATCTTTGGGCTTCAGCTGAAAGCACAGTCTTGTGACCAGACTAGTTGATTGTAGTTTGAGGTATTTGACATGAAGTGTGCTACATGGACGTTGTTATTGAAAATGGTTAGATTATTAATGTGAGTCAGTTCAGGATCACGTACCACAGCAACACCCTGATGGTAAACTAAACTGATCCTCGGCTTGTCAGTAACCATCTAAATGAAGCAAAAGCTTGGGCTGAAGACAAAAAGATGCCATTGGTACACAGTCCGCTTCTGATGTTATGTATTCATTGTTGTGTTATGTAACCGGCACAGACCTCAAGAGGAAAGCAACCCAGACTTGGATCAGAACATTTCTTGATAATTAATCAACTCCAGTAACTGTTTTGATCTCCTTGAACAGGATAAATGTTTACTTACCAAATGTGTTGCTGTTTTATCATTCCTGGACAAATTTATACTAATCAAGTAGATGGTTTTTAAATTAACATGCTATACATAAATAAATATGCAATCATGATGCAACAACAAACACCAGAAATGTATAACATTCCAAGAATATTTTCTTCCTTTGTCCTTATCACCCAGGAGGAGAATGAAAGTTCATGCCCCACCTCCGCCACAGGTCCCTCAACCTGCCCCACGTAATTTATTCAGAAACTCTGCACCTGATGGGGGAGGGGCATCAGCCATTGATGCCAAGGAGAACCTACTAAAGCCCACTGTAGACGTCCTCTTAACCCTACCACATGGGTATCAGACGTCTGTCACAGAAGATGGGAGGTGAGTTAAACCAGAGGGCTGTTCTTTCAATCTGATGCAGGAATTCATTTGTTACAAGTTTTCTTCATAAGTTATTGGAATTGATGCATTTAGAATACAAGTTCACGTTTAGCTAGGCCATTATATGATGTAAGTTAGTCCACATTGCCAGTCGTCCTACCAACAATATGAGAGCTATTTGTTTTAGCGAGGCCTTGGGAAGGGGACTCATGCACATGCTTTGTTCCAGAGAGGGTCAGCTGACATGCTCTCTTTAATGAGTCTTTATCCATTCAGGCAGGAAACTGGGGTTGCCTCTGGTAAGAAGCAACAAGCTTCTTTTTAATAACCTTCTGTTTTTATTACATGCAGGCGTTGGGTGCTTGAAATTCTTCAGAATGCTTGAATTTCAATGCGATTATTTCGAGGTAATGAAAAGGTGTAAAATTGAAAGAAAATGTTTGAAACTGTAACTGAAATTGTTTATTCAGACATGACCATATAAACCTGTCAGACATTTAGACTTCACTAGTTTTTCACTGATGAGGTAATTTGTGCAAACAAAAGACGATCGCGAAAGACTGAAAAGTTGTTAGAAATAGCGACAAAGTTGCTCAGTTGGCAACATTGTTTGGGAAGTGCATTTGATTTGCAACTCGGAGCAACATGAGAGAAAACCATGAGGGAGGAGCAAATAATCTGGGGCCTCATTTATCAAGCTTGCTTACACACAAAACGGGGTCGGAAAACTGCGTAAGCAACTTTCCACGCAAACTTTGGGATTTACAAAAGAAAACTTAGCAAAAAAATGTGCACAACTTTAAGTCGACTGAGGACCTAGCTTACGCACATTTTGGACATGGAGAGCATCTGCAGTGCTGCTGCTGAGAAAGATACGATTACGAATTCCAGCAGCATTACCACTTGTACCGCTTCGTGCGCGCACAGAAAAAGCTCTGTTCTGCTCAACACCACTGCAAGATTATTGCAAACCACTGTAGCATGTAAATCACAAACGCATCTATCTGTGAGCATCATTTAATTTGGATTATTGCTAACACGTACATAATGTCACCATTACGTTTTTACAGCAGTAGAAATTACATGTTATTAGCATTTCCAGTAGCTTACTACTGAACATGTTAATGAAACACATAAGATTTTATGGATCGTAGTTTATTATGTATATATTTAGTTAATTGCATGTTGTATTGCACGCTATTTTTCGTTTTCTTTTCCGGAACTGCACTGCTCTGGGTGGCTGCATGTTGGAGTAGCTCTGTTGACTATATTTAAGTTTTGCCTTTTCTTGGGCATTTTTTCTTTTAGTTTCTCAAGAAAAACTGTATTTTTTTGGACACTTTACTTTTCTGCTTCTGGTGCTGTGAAGCTTGGAGGATTTTTACTGCTATTTTTTAGCTTTTTGAGCATTTGTTATGATGTGTAACCATGGCAACAACCTGGTTTACAATCAGGAGCAGCTGATAACATTGGAAAGGCTGAAATAATACCTCAACTGAAGCCGCAAATCCCAAATGAGCTAAAACGCAAGAAGCATGGATGCAGAGCGGGAGCAAAACGGAGACAGAGAAAGAGGAAATTCAAACCATCTCTTCCATCGATCATAATGGGCAATGTGAGCTCACTGGCCAACAAGATGGAGGAACTCCAAGCCCTTTCAAGGACTCAGCCAGAGTTTCGGCAGTTTCGGAACCGCTGGAGGAGATAATGCAAAGAAGGATTCTCCAGAGAATCAAGAAAATGATGGACAACCCTGAGCATTCTCTTCACAAGACTGTCCGACAACGGAAGAGTGTCTTCAGTCAGAGGCTTCTTCAGTTTCGCTGCAACACTGACCGCTACTGGAGATCCTGCCTGCCAACAGCCATTGTAATATACAACAACTCTTTGATGGCTTGATTATTATTATTATTCTGAGCTAATACAGCAATCAATTTCCCTCTGGGATTAATAAAGTATTTTTGAATTGAATTGAATTGAACTGTTTTCTAATCATGTTCTGTTGTTAAAGTAAAGGAAGGAGAGAAACAAATGTTTCCTAGCAGTTTTTCACTCATTGATGGTCCAAACAATCGTTTGTTGCAGCCCTAAGTACATGTCAATCATATCCAATATTAGAACTAAACAAATATTCAGCATGCCAAAATGTAGTGTCTTCTATTTATTTATGTATTTTAGCTAAAAAAAAAAACATAAATTCTGGTAATCTGCTGTATTTTCCAGACAGTTGATTGCACCTAAATATAAGCCGACTCCCACTAACTCAAAAAATAAAAATAAACACAATATAGGTTGCACTTGTCTATAAGCCACAGGTGATCACGTTGTAACATGAGATATACAGAAAGATTATTTTTTACTTTTAATAAAATATGTAAATTTAACAAACAACATGGCCTAAATGTATACAGTAAATATGTTTTTCCAACCAGTGCCTGTGACACAGCTGGTTAAAGGTACAGTAGCCCACCTGGAATCGTCATTGATTGCAATCTTCATCTCCCTCCTGTCTATTAAAACCACTAAAGTCTTCTTTAGCATTGAAATTGAGCAGCCTTATAGTCACTTCGTATCCATGTACGAGCCACATCGTCATTTAAGCCGCTGCGTTCACAGCCTTTAGAAAGTAGCCGCGAATAACCTGGAAATGATGTTCGTACATTTGTTTCCTGAGTTCATCAGTGAGAGTAAATCTGTTTTTAAATGGAGCTGAAGGTAAGACAGCTGCTGTAACTTAATCTTCTGTCCTCATTCTCTCCTTGTGGTACTTTCTTACACACACACACACACACACACACACACACACACACACACACACACACACACACTCACACACTCACACACTCACACACTCACACACACACACACACACACACACACACACACACACACACACACACACACACACACACACACCACACCACACACACACTTCTGTCTTTTCCTGTCTCTTAGTAAAGCTCTGATGGACTTGCTCGTCGAGGTGTGCAGTCGCCACCAGCTGAACCCATCTCTGCACACCCTGGAGCTTCTTTCACCAGAAGGTCACTCCTTGGGATTCAAGCCCAACGCACTGCTTGGCTCCCTCAACGTGGCCTGTGTGCTCATCAAGGAGAAAGTTGCAGAGGAGAAAGCGCCGCGTAGACCAGCGCCCAAGGTGCCAGAGGTGAGTTTCAGTGAAGCCTTTGTTTGTTTGCACTACATCTTCTACTTTTTGTGAGGTAAACCTACTTGAATAAAATTAGTAGTGTTATTAAATCTAGCCAGCCAAACAGGTTCTCATGGGATTGCTTGTGTACAGAGACATTTGGGTCTTGCATGAATCAGAACTTATTGATGCAGTCTAAATGATGAGACAACATCCTTGTTGAAAGAAAAATGATGGTCTATTGATCACCTTGAGGCACCATATAATGCCTTTCCCCCTCTCTCCTTTTGACCGATGACCCCTGGCAGGAGACAAAGCCAGTGAAACCTATAAGAGCTCATTCTAAGGTAGGAAGCTGGTTGGCAACACCAACCTGCTTACTGGATTCAGGTTTTTTTTTTGTCTTTTCTTTTTAGCTCAAGGTGTGCATTTTGTTCTGGACCCCATTCTCATGCTGTCATTCATCCTGCTGAATACAAATATCCATTTTACTCTGCATCTGTTTCATTGTCTGTTCCTTTTCTTTGCCTCTCCTTCTATCTCAACTAAAGGTTTGAATATTTAATGAGTCCCTTACCTTTAGTTACCATGCATTATTTCTTTGCCCTTCTCGGGGCTCACTGGCTGCTCTGCCTTCCTTTGACTTCACCTGACCTCCGACCAGGGGCCAGCACCCTTTCACACACTGCTGTCTGTCATTTTTTTCCCTTGGGATTTTTCTCTGACTGGTTGAAATCAGACTGCTATGATTCCTGCTGTGTGCACAGTTGGATAAATTAATGGATCTTTTTAGTGACAATAAGGGAAGTGTGCAATGGAGAGTGTGATTCTCTTGCTGTTTTAAAATGTTTCTTTCTAGTGAGACTGGGGGGTCTTTTTATCAACACAAAATGAAAATAAAAAGTATTTTTTGGAGAATTCAACAGTAGAGCAGGAAGTAGGGAGGCCTGTGAGTGCTAGCTTCATTCATAACAGCCACAGTTGTTTTTCCTATCTGTTGAATGCTGTGCGTTTGATGCCCATTATGCTGGTCGCAGCCAGCAACGGTGTTGGTTCGTTATTCTATTCTCCACACCCCAAACATTTAGGTGTATCTCATCCATGAAAGGTTATTTTATTCCTTCTATCAATCAGTCTTTTTTTCCGGTGTATTCAGCAGAGTTCCTCCCAATTTTGTGTAGAATTTATTTTACTGGAGAATTCCTTTTGTACAATTTTATGACGACTTGTCCATGGACCACGACAGCTTCAATTAGAATTACACCAGAACACACTCTAGAATTTAGTCATTTATTGCATCTTTTTTTCATCAGAAAACAGTGCGTTTGATGGTCAATTACCACGGCAACCAGAAGGCTGTAGTACGGGTCAACCCATTGGTTCCTCTCCAGACGTTGACACCAGTCATCTGTGAAAAGTGTGATTTTGACCCTGAACACGTCCTGCTCCTTAAAGACGGCGTCAGTCGTCATGAGTTAAAGCTGGACAAGTCTCTGACGGAGCTGGGCATCAAGGAGCTCTACGCGCACGACAAGAGTCTAGGTAAGCCTTAGTGATGTGGGTCACAACATGTTGTAGTGAAATTATCTGGGTTCAGTCAATAGTCTAGCTTACATTTGTTTGATTTATTGAGACCTAATGAAGTCTGACTTTAAATTATTATAATATAAAAGCAGGTCAATAGAGTCTGTTTATTATCTGTAAATGTTCTGGGTAATGTCCATGCTCTGATTCAGGCAGATGAAAGATAACATGGCTACCTGTTGGTGTTTAAGCATTCTTAGCTGTTGTACCATTATTTGATTTGGTAAACTTGGTTGTAAATATGAGTCAAATAAAGCATTTTGTTTTGTTTTTCTAGTTTTAAATGTTATAACTGCTCAGTTGAAAGGATCACCAAAGGTCTCAAACAACCTTCTAAAAAAACTAAAAATGTCATGTTCACATTTACTCTGCATGTTTTATTCCCAGAATCTTCATTGTAAATTCAGTAAAACAACAAAAGGAAAAACAAAGAATTTATTATTGTAATTAACTAAAAGCCATCTATAAAAGCCAGCTATTTTAAGACCAGATTATTGACCAGGTGTGTACAAGTGTGAAAGTAATCCCAGGGAATACACAAACTACAGTTGTTTTTCATGCATGCATGTTTATTATAAACTGGTCCTAGGAAAAGGACAGTGTGGAGGCATCTTACTTTGTTAATTCAAAAATCTATAATCTGGTTTTATGTTGATCACTATATTTACGTAGCCTAGAAGGCCACCCTATATATGTGAATATATAGTCTGGCCACGACCCATAGGCAGAGTTTAGTCGTCGGGCGGAATCTACAGTTGTCTTTTAAACTGCCTCAGCATGCTATTGGACAACAGACAACGTGACATTATCTCCGCTAAGGATGTCGGTCAACAGGGCAGTCCGCCATACATACACTGCTGAAGAAGACACAAATACATCCTTTTTCTCAATAAAGGACTTAAATCTAAATAGTCCAAAGTTTACGCCAAAGCCTTTTCAAATGAGCCATCGCCATCTTTTTTGCTCAGTCGCAGCATCATCCATCTCACCAAACTGAGACCGCTGTAATTGGCCCACCAAACTGTTCAAGCACTGCCATTGGCCCACCAAACTGATCGAGCGCTGTGATTGGCCCACCAAACCGATAGACCACTGTGATTGGCCCAGCAAACCGATCAAGCGCTGTGATTGGCCCACCACACTGATAGACGACTGTGATTGGCCCACCAAACTGATCGAGCGCTGTGATTGGCCCACTAAACTGATCGAGCGCTGTGATTGGCCCACTAAACTGATCGAGCGCTGTGATTGGCCCACCAAACTGATCGAGCGCTGTGATTGGCCCACCAAACTGATGGAGCGCTGTGATTGGCCTACCAAACTGATCGAGCGCTGTGATTGGCCCACCAAACTGATCGAACGCTGTGACTGGCCCACCAAACTGATCGAGCGCTGTGATTGGCCCACTAAACTGATCGAGCGCTGTGATTGGCCCACCAAACTGATGGAGCGCTGTGATTGGCCCACCAAACTGATGGAGCGCTGTGATTGGCCCACCAAACTGATGGAGCGCTGTGATTGGCCCACCAAACTGATCGAACGCTGTGACTGGCCCACCAAACTGATCGAGCGCTGTGATTGGCCCACTAAACTGATCGAGAGCTGTGATTGGCCTACCAAACTGATCGAGCGCTGTGATTGGCCCACTAAACTGATCGAGCGCTGTGATTGGCCCACTAAACTGATCGAGAGCTGTGATTGGCCCACTAAACTGATCGAGAGCTGTGATTGGCCCACCAAACTGATCGAGAGCTGTGATTGGCCCACCAAACTGATCGAGTGCTGTGATTGGCCCACCAAAATGGGTTGATAGTACTTCAGTATAAACAGAGCCATGCAGCTCAGTAGCAGCCAGATGGAAGCACTGCTAACGGCTAATGTTGGTGTAGCTTTAGTCTGCTGCTGCTGCTAACAGGTTACCTGTCTGGTAGAAATAATTTTAAAAAAAACACATCTCTAACGGAAAAAGAGACTGCGAACACAACAAATGGCGTTGAAAATCAGGGGCCGAACAGTTTAGTTGTGTGGACACAGTTCGGCTAGCATTAATGCCTGTTTATTTAATTATGTTCTCATATGCTTAAAGATTGTAGTTTAAAATAAACCTCTTTTATTTATCTCAGACAGTATGATATTGTGGGAGATTTTCAGATTTTAAATATAAATCTTTAAAATAAAAATAACAATTTTATATCTTCAGTTCTCAATTTAAAGTACCAGAGAAAATTAAAAGATAAGCAAAACTAGTGATTTGTTTTATATCGTGACGTATATCAGTATTGACCAACATGAAAATAATATCAGGATAGGAAAATCGCCCAGTCCATGTTCTCCTTTAGGTAATTCTTCCTTGCTGTGCCATAATTCAAAGAATCTAATATTGCATTATTAACTCGTTATATTTCTAAATCTTTTCCAGTTTTCCAGCTTAAAATGGCTTCTGCTCCTGCTCTTAACTACTCAGGTATTAGTCGTCAGCATTGTCTGTCTCCGTAGTGTTGCTACTAAAACCCGTAGGTGTTTAGCTCAAACCTCAGGTGCTTTCGTACTAACCCTTGTTTCTACATCGGACATGCTCGTTAGTAAACCCTACCTTGTTGGTTTATTGTTGTGGAACCTGTGTATGACGTAATAATGACTTCTTTTTTGTTTGCATATTTCATGCAATAATATTTTGCTTTGTTAGAAACCAAAACACAGAGTGAGGTAGCTACATGAAATGATTAGTTTACCTTTCTTCCTCGCCATTAAAGAATTGTGTTGTGATGCATTCTTAGGTGCTGATTTTGGAAGCAAGACTTCTGAAAATGCTGAGTCTATGGCTCCCCCTGATGGGGAATATTAGAAGACGGAATAATTCAGACTGTATGAAGGGCTTGATTATTGAAAATATCCCAACATTATATATAATATAAATAAAACATGCACAGTACTATTTGTTTTAAATAAACCAGCGGTATTTGATTTTATGAGAAAGAAGCCTATGTGGCTTACGCTGTACTACTGAATACTTACTCTTCTTAAAGAGTTCACTTACAAGAGAAATTTAGTATTTTTTTTCTTTTTAATACAAATGTCCTTGCAGTGCAAAGATTAACACAGTGTACATTTGCTTTTCCCTGTTTTTGTTTTCTAGACTCCGTTTGTTCCAGTACTACCAGTTTGGGTAGACCTCAAAAGAAAGGCTTTTTAAATATCTTCCAGTTCAGCAGAAGGAAGTCCAAGGTAGGAGTCGAGATGTTGTTGCATGGATATTATATAAAATATTGTTTTCTTTCTTTCTTCTTATGATTATTGAATGAAAAGCTAATTTGTTCATCCTAAACACTTTTCATCGTGTTCTCTTTTTCCTCTGGTTAATATTGGAGTTATGTAGAGTTTAGAAACAAAGTTGTTTTAACGTAGTAAATGATACGTGTTTAGGAGTTCATAAACTACTGATTTTACTCTACTAATTGTATTTTACACCAGGAAATATGAGTGGCAGTGCCAAGTGTCCAAACTACATTTGAAATAGTTTAACAGCTTACACGCTGCGTTGTAATGCATTCATTATTGATGTGTTTGAGGCAGACTAATATGCATGTCTGGGTGGCTGAACGCTGCATGCTGGTTTTGCTTTTCTTTGCAGACAGAAACAAGATCTATGAGCATGGATGACTTTGATGATGATAAAATTCAAAATACAGACTCAAAATACAATGTAAGTAAATGACATGAGCAATATGAATTAGCTGGCTTTTTAAATGTCTTTTGGACCAGTTATTTACAATTTTTAAACTACTAGTTTATAAAAAGTTACTGAACTTTTAATCACACCAGAACAGCTGATGAGTCACTAGATTATAGTCCTTTGTGCTTCTGCTCCTCTTTTCTACAATAAACTCAAGTATGTGGCACTTTTTACCCATTTACCATTTTCCTCATGTGGAAAATCACATTCACAGAGAGCTGTAGCTCAGAATATTAAGTCTATTTTTAGCCTAGTGAATCCTTGTGATTTAATTATGATGATGATGATGATGATGAGGATGATGATGATAGCTTTATTGTAAACATGTACAAAAACTAAAAGAATTTAACAGCTTTGGAAAAAGCCCCCCTGAACTGCAGCCAAACAGCCAATCACATTTGATTTATTGTCTCTGGGGGGCTGGCCTGCAACAGGAAATGGCTGGCTAGCTTGCTAGGAGCTAGATCTCACTTCCCATCTCTCATTCTCTCATTCACACACACTCACTGTTGGGTTATATAGATAGAGCGGTCATCCTGCCTGTAGCTGTTGCTGTTAAATGTGTTTATTCTCATTTTATGTGATTATAATGTTCAAAACTGGATATCTAATTCAGCTTCTATGCCATTAGTGCCACCTACTGGTGGAACTGATTATCTGCTTTCCTCTGAGCAGATGATCCATTGAGAAATACTGTAAATACTGAAACTCAAGCTGGAAAACAGTTGGCCAAAATTAAATGTGGATAAGGCCAAACCTTGAAGTAATGAACAGCAGTTGCTCTCAAAGGTGCACACGGCAGGCTTGTGTATTTTTTTGAGTATCATTAAAAGTGTGGAACACAGAAAAAACCTTTTTTAAATATTATTTCTGATTATAATCAGTCCTTGAGTTTTCCATGCAGGCTGATGATGAAAATAGTCTCCTACACCTATCTCCTGCATTAGCTTCTGATAGAAAATAGACAGTGAATCTCTAGGGTTAGAAAAGCCTGACAGATCTAAGTCACGCTGTCACTTAGCATTCATGGACTCACCCATCTTGACTCACATCGGGGAAGGCTGTCGTTGGTTTAGTCCAGGAAACCGCAGAGAACGTCTCGGCTGGTGGAAGCTAATCATTAGCATTAGCAACTGCACCCCACAGCAAAACTCCCTCAGACTTGTGTTATTTATGGAAATAAAACGTCACGTTGCAGAGCAAATGGAGTCAGTGGTAGAGTTGTGTTGCTGTTAGCCAATCAGAGGAGAGATGTGTAAATATCAGGATATAGGACTCCATATCCTGTCGTCTGAAGTCCAGCTGTGATGTTACATTCAGCTAGTTCCTGAAATGGGTACATCTGAGCTTTTGCCGTTTCCACATCTGGCCCGCTCCAGATGGCGTCATTTCGGGTCCCACACCGGTAGGGTTTGTTCACACACACTTCTTAGGAATGTGTAATCTCTGAGCACATGGGCAGGGCAAAAGATACGCAGAGAAGTCTGCAGTGTCTCCCTTAAATTAAACAAAGATGGTCATAAGCAGTGTTGCTTTTAAAGTCTCTTACTCTGATATTGCATCCTGCTCTGCTGTGTTTGTCCTGACGCAGCTCAAACCTGGCAGTGTGTGTGTGTGTGCGCGCGCGTGCATGCGCGTGCGTGCATGTTTGTCAGAGAGAAACAGAGATAAAGAGACTGCTTTAGTCAGAGGTGCTGTTTGATGCTCTTTATGCCACAGCATCCAGAATGATGATGATTGGTGTATGCTGGAAGCCCCTGGCGGCAGATTCTATCAGCCAATCGGAGGCTCCCCTTAATGCTAGGCGAGAATTTGAGGCCAGCCAATCAAGACGGCAGTGGGTGTGTAGGACCAGTTTAGCCGGAAGCAGACAGCCTTGGGAAGAGGACTGAAAAGCGCAGAAAAACTCCAGGTTATGTGGATGTGAACACTTTCTACCGGATCTAGGAGGAGTAGAGCCAGTGATATTATGGAAGCCCTTTTCTTTTCACACATAGGATATTTTTTCAGCAGATACCACTGGTGACCTGCTGTATACCATTATTTCCCCGTTTGTTTTTTTAGGTTGCTTATGACGTCATTGTTTATTGTTGTTCCCCCTTTTTCTCCCTGCCTATCTGATCTGTTGCCTAAGTGGATGCAGTCTATCGTGCCACAGACCTAATAACGTCAGGGAAAGTATCTTGCAGGACATACACAGCAGAGCAGGGTTATTGTTGTTGTTAGCCTCAAGGGCAACATGCCGATTATAACTTGTAAGTCGCTTTGAACAAAAGCGTCTGCTAAATACATAAACATTATTTTGGGGGGGAGGGGGGGTACGTATGGAGACAGTCGTTGTGAGACATGAGACATGTGTTTACTGTTTTCCTTCCCTCTCACTGCTTCCCTGCTGCTCTCTCCCTCATCATGCTCACTTATGCATGCTGCTCCTTGCTCTGCCTCTCCATTTGTCTCTCCTTCACTCACCTCCTCTACTTCAGCCTGTGTACTTGTCTAATATATTAGCGACATGTTAGACTAGTTTCAATCACCAATAGGAATGTTGGGAATATTACACGTATCACGGTACAGATCACCATCACTCAGAACTTGAGGGAACTGCGTAACAGTAAAGAGCAATAGCACCTTCATCTAACGTTACCTCAACATCTTCCTTGGGTTCCTTCCTCTTCTTTTGAAAATATTTTAACTTATTCATCTGAAAATGCAATCTGAAATTAATCTAAATGGGAAAATTACCCGACATTAAAGAGCAAGTAACACCTGAATTAACTTTTTTTTTGCTGACAACCTGTATAAGTGAGTGTCTAATAGTCTGTGTTGGGAGTAATGCGGTACAAAAGTAATTAATTACTGTAATGAATTGCTTTTTGCTGTAATGTGGTAATGTAAGGCATTACAGGGAAAGAAAATGGTAATATTTACTCAGTACAATTGTCAGTAACGCGGTAATTACAATGCATTTTTAAACCCAGAAACAAAATGTGGGGTTCCTAAAAACTCAAATTGCGGGAAGCCTGAAAAAAGATCCAGTATGCACATATATGACGTCATTTATGGACTCGGCTTTGCGGGCATTCTATGAGCAGAGAGGACGCAGCGGTAATGGCTCAAATACTCCAGCTGTGTCCTGCACGCGGCCGCTGTTATATTCACAAAATCGCTCCACCAAAACAAAGTCATTCGTTTGCGATCGTTTATATCAACCTCTGTTCTCTGGTACTTCACGTACTTTTCAGCTGAGTTCATAATCTGTGCCCCGGTGATTTCAGCTCATTGCTGCTGGAGCGCAGCGCATATTAAGCGTTTTTTTTTTTTTTTTTTTTTTTGCGTTCGGTAGATCCCTTTGGCTGATTAGTTAGTAGGAAATCTAGGAAACAGTTTTTCTGGAAGACGGAGAAAACATGCAGCATGCAGGAAGGTTAGCGAGAGAAAGGGCGGGAAATTATTCAAATAAAATCAAGAAAACAACACAAAGTGCTTGAAAAGAAAAAAAGTACCCAATACACATTTTTACCAGTGAAAAGCAATAATATATAAGCATTTAATATTTATACATGTGATAGAATCAGATCACCCCAGAAGTCAGTCCCACATCCAGGGCCGTATCAAGGCATTTGAGGACCAAGGCAAATATAGACTTGGAGCCCCCATCACCTCACTCCCTGCTCAGATGGCCCTATAAGATGGCAGCGTGCTGAGAGTACAGATTGTTGTTGCTTTTATTTAATAAACAATCATTTTAAAGCACTGTTATTATATCTGACTGTTTTTAACATCAACCCTAGCTCAGATACCACATCACCTTCCACATATATGTCATGAGCTCACTGAGCGTCAGATTACCAGATTCATATTGAAGTTGTTTTGGTGAAAGTTACTTCAGGTAATGCAAAAGTAGTGTAATGTCTTACATTTTAAAATCAGTAATATTGTAATGTAATGAATTACTTTAAAATGAGGGTAACAAGTAATAAATAATGCATTACAGTTTTGAAGTAACTTGCCCAACACTGCTAATAGTGCCGTAGTGTGGCAGTTTAGTGCAACTTATTTTAAATGTAATTTTTCAGCCCAAAACCGTAATTCTATCTCCTTCTTCAGGTTAAAACTCTGCTCCATATTTATTTAGAATCAGCTCTGGCTGTATAATCACTTTCCAACCTGTGTAGCCTAACCCACACAAAGCTTAAAACAAGCCACTCGACCTCTTTAAAAAAGCATTCATAATTATGACTGTTTTATCAGCCTGCCTACCAGTTCTGAAAGAAGCAAGCTAGTTCTGTTCTTGAAGCTGTCACGATTCACACACGGAGGAGAGGTGACGTCAGCCGGGAGGTCAGGTGTTGTGAGAAATTGTGTTACCCTGAAATATTCTGGGAGACTCTGTGTATGCTGCGCATAAACTCCTATGGATTACCAGCAAAAGGAGACCCAAGTCTAAAGGTAACGTTTGAGAAGAAGCCCTCTGTGTCGGAGCGTCTCTGTAACGCTGATTTAGCCACTGTCTAGCACTGGAGCGTGTTGGGCAAGACGGCAGGCTGCGGGAAGAGAGGAGACTTGAGTAGAAGGACTTTAGAACAGACACGTTAGGACCGGATCGGAAGTTCTGGTACAAGGAAAAGACGAATGGACAACTTGAGGTGAGTTTGTGAGTCAGAGACACTAATCAGAGGCTGGCATCAAGCTAATAGCGGGCGGGGATCTGAACATATGCGGCTTCCTTGTGTTGGACATGATGATAAACTGGCAAATTTTATGTCTTTTGATTTAAGTTTTTTTTTTATTCAAACTAACAAATACAGCAACGGTGTAGCTATTCTTTTCTACTTCTTAGCTGAATTAGCAGACCCCATGCTTCCAGGGCGCACTGCTGCCCTCTGCTGGTTCTTTCAGGTTACAGCCATAGTCCAAACGGGTAATGTGGAGCACGTATGTCCCTAAACAGCTACTGTATTGTGAGATGG